TTCAATCAATATAGCATCACATTTAGTGATTATTTGATGTTAAAATGCGAAAGGGAGAAAACTGGAAAATGGGGTTAAACAACAAAAATCAAACAATTAATTGAACAAAATCTTTATTTTCATCCAGATTATAAAATGATTATGCTGATATTTCTACTAGTGGGGAAAAGGCAGTCAGACATCGTAGCAATCTGGGACTAATTCCTAATTTAAGGTAGATGAGGTGTCTTTTTCAGAGCATCACTTCTGGGCATGTTGCAAAAATACTTTTTTGGTTTAAAGAACATTCAATATACAACAGGACATCTAAAACTTGAACATGTTGAAATCTTAAGATTAAACTATAAAAAAATTAAGCAATTATATATGGTAAAATTTAAGTGTTTTTAAAATTTTCAGAAGAAAATCAAGAGCAGGTAATTATATTGAATTTAATAGCATAATTTGTGTCTTTGGATTTAAAAAACAAAGCCTGCAGTTACCCCTGTAACCCCATAATTATTTGAATCAATATTTCGTATGTGTTTATAAAAAGAAATTCTGTCATCGAATTTTAAGCAATTATTCGTTTAATCGTTTAATGTTTCCTCAATAAGGAAAAACTTAGTTCACCCTATATAACCCATATAAAATAACTTTGAATTCCTTAATTTCAATTTATTTTGACGAAAAGACAAAGTCTGTGACCCCCGGTTTTTATATGGAAATTTGAAAGTATATTGACTAAGAAGTCTTTTTTAGAAGTTAAAGAAAAATCTATTGTCAAACATTTAGACACCCCAGGTACAAATGAACCTTAACAGAACCTTGCTCATCCCTCACTCACAGGACACTTTAATTATTAGTTGATGAAGGAAAGAAAAATACTTCAAATCATTAGCTACGATAAATTACTTTAAACAAATTTAAAAAGAAATGTAAAATTACTTTATTATTGCCTGTTTGTGAAAAGATGTCATTTCTTTCAATTTAGCCATTTAAATGTTTTATTAGACCCATTACCCTATGTAATTTTAGACAGTGTATGTAACAGGATGTCTGTTATCATGATGTTTAACTTTTGAACTCCTATAATAATAGTATATAATCTGAAGTTTAAATAGAAAGTAATTTTATAAACATTGTCAAAGTGTGACTACTGGAGGCAGAAATGGAGACAAGGCCCTGCCAAAATAATAATAGGTTTGAATAGAAAGTAACTTTATAAACGATTACTTACTTGAGGCAGAAATGGAGACAAGGCCATACCAACATGACCAAAGTAATAATAAGTTTGAATAGAAAGTCATTTTATAAACATGGTCAAAGTTTGACTATGGAGACATTTAGACCATTCCATAGAAAGTAATATTATTATAAACATTGTCAAAGTGTGACCACTGGCTGTAATTGAGACAAGGCCATACTAAAGAGATAGTAGGTTTGAATAGAAAGTTATTTTATTAAAACATTGTCAAAGTGGGATTACTGGTTGCAGTAATGGAGACAAGGCCTTTCCAAAGAAATATTATGTTTGAATAAAAAGTAAATTTGTAAACATGGTCAGTGTGGCTACTGGTGGCAGTAATGGAGACAAAAAGCCATAATATGCCAAAGAAATAATATGTTGAAAGTAATTTTATAAATTGATATTCATGGCCAAATTCTTGACATCTGGAGGCAAGTCATGATTTTTTGAAGCAAGACTAGAATAAAAAAAGTTTATTTGATCATTCTAGTCAACTGACTAATTGAGACAAGGCCATATAAAAATTATAAGGTACAGGTTTATTTTTTCATTGCCAAAGTCTTTAAAGCTGCTGGAGGCCTGGATAAGGCCATAACAAATAAGTTTTAGTATTTTTTTTATCTTCAAAGTGTACACTGCAGATGGCCAGTTACAGTTTTTTATTCATTGCCAAAGTCTTAACTACTGGAGATGAGGCCAGAACAAAAAAAATATGTAGCTTTATTTTGTAATCATGGTCAAGGTTTTTGAATATAAGAGACAAAAAAAGTTATCGATGTTGCTCATATTGATACATATATCATTGGATTTTACAGTATTTGTCTGGCATCACTAATTTTTATACGCCCGTTTACGGGACGTATTATGGTATTCCGTCGTCAACATGTTAGACGATAAATAAAAAACACTTGAACCAATTTGCATGAATCTTTAGTGAATTGTTTATATCTATTGACGTGAGCTCCCTTTCGATTTTTATAAATTTGGGATTATACGTTTCCCGGTTATGGGGTGTTATTCATTAAAAAAGGGGGATTTTCCAGTTTTCTGACAATAACTCAAAAATGCTTTAAGCAGTTTTCATAAAACTTTAATGAATTGTTTATATCTATTGACGTGAGCTCCCTTTAGATTTTTATAAATTTTAGATGTTACTTTTCTGAATTATGGGATTTTATTCATTAAAAAAGGGGGATTTTCCAGTTTTCTGGCAGTAACTCAAAAATGCTTTAAATTTATATCTATTGTCGTAAGGTCCCTTTCGATTTTTATAAATTTTGGATTTTGCGTTTCCGAGTTATGGGGTTTTTATTCATTAAAAAAGGGGGAATTTCCAGTTTGTCGGAAAATAACTCAAAAGTGCTTTGAGCAGTTTTCATGAAACTTTGGTGACTGGTTTATATCTATTAAAATAACCTCCCTTTAGTTTTTTTTATAAATTTCTGGTATGACATTGAGGAGTTATGGAACATAATTCCTTGAAAAAGCAACAGGGGTATCATGCGCTTATGGTGCAGCTCTTTATTATTAAAAGCTACAAATAAAAAATTTGATTGAAAAAAAAGGTTACAGTCATTGTCAGTTGATTTGTAAGGTGAAATACAGTTTTAAATATAATTGTATATAAATATGTCATATTTTATCATCTAATCTATAAAAAAAATTCAAAACTGTCAACTGGATTAATTAAACTGTCCAAATATTTTGAAATGTGAATTTGTGTTTATCCCTCCCTGACCTTAGGGTCATAACTATACATGTATTTGAACAATAAGTCTAAGATGCATACATGTACACTCTTGTATTACCTTGAGCAGATAGTTGCATGTAAGTGCACTGCTATTGTAATAACAAGAATTTCATGTTTGTATAAAACATGTCATACCAATGGTAATTAAAAGTGACAAAGAAGTTCCGACACAATTGTATATGGATACCTTTTACAAGAGCCCTCTAAGTGCATCTTGTATGATTCAGGTCATGTCATATGTCACAAAGCATTCTGTTCAAAGAGACTTTAGGGTGTACAGATAAATGAATCTTTTTGATCTTTGAATAAAGGAAAGTTAAGCTTTGAAGATTCTTTGAAGCATATCATCATTAATCTTTGTATAATGAGATAAAGAAAATTAGCAACATATATTTTAACTTTAAAAACTATAGGTTGAAAATAATTTATTTATTGTTATGATTGGAAGTATAGTTTATTTTTAATTTTAAATGAAAAATATTCGTTGTTATTTTTTTTTTACTGCAATTATTGCAACATATATTTGATTAAAACTTTTAAATTAAAAATTTGCAATGTTGCAGAAATACATTTTCAACATTGATTATACTTTTAAAAATTGTTGTTAATGGTTTCTTTTTTTACAATCATTTATTTATTATTATGATCATGATGATTAGAAGTGTAGTTTAATTTTAATAAAAAATAGAAAAAATATTTGTTGCTAAACATTTTTTACTCAGTATATTATATGAATAAAGAATATAAACATTGATAAATAAAGATATAAAATTGAGCATGTAATGATATAGATAGAAATGTTTATTGATCTTATATACATGTGATATACTACTTTGCCAAGATTTTATATCTGTTAAATAAAACAGTTGCTTCCTTGAAAAGATAAAAGGTCAACTATTGATGTTTTGGTACAAATGTACAACAAAAGAGAAAGTTTTTAAGTGCATTTATTTTAGAATATTAATATTAAATAACATTGCTTAGATCTATAGAATACATACTACAACCAATTCTAAAATATAAAAAAGAAAATTTTCATTTTAAACGTGAATTATTTACATGGTTAATTGTTTTTTTTAGATTCCAAAGTTTTGTCATATTTGTATTAATAAGTAGTAGTTAAGAATAAATACTCTTATTTACTAAACTCCAAAATGAGCATGATGAGATGGAAAAGTCATAAAATGGTTACCAGTAGGGTATTAGCAACAGCAGGAATAGAAATTTTTGGGTCTCTGAAAACACTGCAAAAAAGGGACTTTAAGGTCCTTTGTGCTCTTATTAAACTCCTTTGTGCTACATTGTGCTCCTTTTTGCACAAAGGAGGCCATTTGCGGTGTTTTTAGAAACTGCAAATTTTCATCTGAAGTTTGTTTACAAGTTTTATTAGTAACTAACACTAAGATGTCATCAAATGTAATTTAATTACATATAGATATGCTGCATTTATCATGCTTTACCATAAATTAAGATATTTGCCACTGGACATGAAGTTAACAATTGATTAATCATTGTATTCTATAGTCTGTGACTGAGCTTGTTTATTATCGTTAAACAATTTATATATAAAAATAAGGAGATGTGGTATGATTGCCAATGAGACCACTATCCACTAAAGTTCAAATGAAGAGGATGTAAGTAATTATAGGCAATCGTACAGCCATCAACAATGAGAAAACCCTATAATGTATAGTCGGCTTTAAAAGGCCCTGGCATGAAAAATATTGAGAGAACTAAAGGCCTAATTTATAACAAAATAATTTATGAAAAACAAAAATATGCTAATTTCTTGTCCTTCAATTCTTTTAAAAAAAATTTTAAGCCATAAAAACCATGAAAACCATTAACCATTTAATTTGAACTGTTAATTGCATACTTTAAATGTTGAAAATATATCACTTATAATGAAAGAGATGAGGCTAGGGTGCCTAAAAGAATACAGTGCAAAATCAGCTGGAATCAATTTGACATATTTCATTCATACATATTACAATTATGTTCATACAAAATATCTACTTTCAGATTACAACCCTTGTAAACCATAAAGAGAAAGCTCGCTTTACAGAGAAGACAAGTCGGTCATTGATCAGAGTAGGACAAGGTGTAGCACTGGCTGTAGAAAAGTTTGTCTCCGTTGGACAGACAATTGCGGCAGAAAACATGGAAATATCTGAGGATATGTGTGAGGCTTGTGAGGAAGCCAGAATGGCGGGTAAACACATTTGAAATGGTTTGAATTCTATTTCCATTAACCTCACAGAGAATATTTGTCTTTTCTTCAGGTGACCTGTTTGTTGATATTTGGTTAATATTGTAATTTGAAAGTCATTAAAATGATAAAAGCCATTTTTATGCGCCATTTATGGGCATTATGTTTTTTGGTCTGTCACTGTGCGTCCTTTCGTTCGTCCGTCCTTTCGTTCGTCCGTCCGTCCGTTCGTCCTTATATCCCTCTTCAGGTTAAAGTTTTTGGTCAAGGTAGTTTTTGATGAAGTTGATGTCCAATCAACTTGAAACTTAGTACACATGTTCCCTATGTCTGATATAATCTTTCTAATTTTAATGCCAAATTAGAGTTTTGACCCCAATTTCACGGTCCACTGAACATAGAAAATGATAGTGCGAGTGGGGCATCCGTGTACTATGGACACATTCTTGTTTTGCATCTGAAATGGCAATACTAGTTAATTTCCTTAAACCTTTAAATTAAGGTTAACTTTGATTCTTGATTAATAAGCGAGTATAATGATCATGATATTGTAGTCTAGGTAGTCATATTGGTAATGTTAAGGTAGTTTTTGTCTCACCTTGACCGAGTAAAAATGTGAGACTTAGGTATGCCATTTACGAAGTGGCGTGGTCAGTGGCATCAACAATTTGTTTAAGTTTGTGATTAGTTCAGTTAAAATTAGAACCACTTATGATAAATCAATGATATTCCGTATGCAATTAACTGTATAAGCATTTGCACATTTCATTTTCAAGGAAATTATTTGGCCATGCCTCCCCAGTCATGGTCTATTGACTTTTAAACTTTTGCATAGTTTACATGCTAAAAGTTTGTGATTAGTTCAGTTTAAGGGGAACCATTTATGATAAGTCAATGATGTTTGGTATGCAGTTGTATAAGCATTGGCACATCCCATATCCACGTAGATTATTTGGCCCTATCATGGTCTATGGACTTTAAAACAATTTCAAGGTTTAAATGTTAAACTTTTGATAAGGTCAATTTAAAGGAACCGCTAATGGTTAGTCAATGATATTTAGTATGCAGTTGTATAAACATTGGAACATCTAACTTCCTCAGGGACTATTTGGCCCTGCCCCCTCAGTCATGGTCTATTGTAAATTAACTTTGAAACTTTTGCATATTTCACATTTAAAAGTATGTCTTTAAGTCAGTTTAAGTGGAATCACTTATAAAATGATATTTGGTTTGCAATTGTATATACATGATATAGGCATTGACACATCTCATTTCCATCCAGGGAGATAATTATTACTATTACATTTGGCCCTGTACCTTCAGTCATAGTTCATTAAATTTGAATATTTTGCATAATTTTCATGTAAAAGTATCTCAATTTTAATTTGCATTTTACTATCAAAATAACAAAAAGGCAAGACATATCTCTGTGTTAACAGTTTATTATTTAAAATCACTTGGTTTTTTTTCAGGATCTACAATACAAAGACTAACTATGATTGTGCCATCAAAAGGAAATAAAACAGTTACAGAGAAAACAGCCATGGTTAGGTCAGCTCGACAGTTACTGTCAGCCATTACAAGGGTCCTGCTGCTGGCGGATAAAGTTATTGTTAAACAGCTTTTAGTATCTAAGGACAAGGTAAAGCCATGGTTAGGTCAGCTTGACAGTCACTGTCAGCCATTACAAGGGTCCTGCTGCTGGCCGATAAAGTTATTGTTAAACAGCTTTTAGTATCTAAGGACAAGGTAAAGCCATGGTTAGGTCAGCTTGACAGTCACTGTCAGCCATTACAAGGGTCCTGCTGCTGGCGGATAAAGTTATTGTTAAACAGCTTTTAGTATCTAAGGACAAGGTAAAGCCATGGTTAGGTCAGCTTGACAGTTACTGTCAGCCATTACAAGGGTCCTGCTGCTGGCGGATAAAGTTATTGTTAAACAGCTTTTAGTATCTAAGGACAAGGTAAAGCCATGGTTAGGTCAGCTTGACAGTTACTGTCAGCCATTACAAGGGTCCTACTGTTGGCGGATAAAGTTATTGTTAAACAGCTTTTAGTATCCAAGGACAAGGTAAAGCCATTTTTAGATCAGCTTACCTAAAAAATGGAAGAGCAGAACAATATATCCTCTTTTATTCAGAGACTTGATTGTACTTCTTTTGTAATGGTTTTTGTCGAGCCTGCGACTTTTGTCGCAGAAAGCTCGACATAGGGATAGTGATCCGGCGGTGGCGGCAGCGGCGGCGTTAGCTTACTTCTTAAAAGCTTTATATTTCAGAAGGTAGAAGATCTAGATGCTTTATACTTTGTATATGGATGCCTCATGTTACGAAGTTTCTGTCAGTCACATGTCCAATGTCCTTGACCTCATTTTCATGGTTCAGTGACTACTTGAAAAAAAAGTTAAGATTTTTTGTAATGTTAAATTCTCTCTTATTATAAGTAATAGGATAAGTATATTTGGTATGTGCGTACCTTGCAAGGTCCTCATGCCCGTCAGACAGTTTTCACTTGACCTCGACCTCATTTCATGGATCAGTGAACAAGGTTAAGTTTTGGTGGTCAAGTCCACATCTCAGATACTATAAGCAATAGGTCTAGTATATTCAGTGTATGGAAGGACTGTAAGGTGTACATGTCTAGCTGGCAGGTGTCATCTGACCTTGACCTCATTTTCATGGTTCGGTGGTCAAAGTTAAGTTTGTGTGTTTTGATCTTTTTTTCTAATACTATATGCAATAGTTCAACTATATTTCACAATGGTGTATGGAAATATTTTATGATCTATATGTCAGTCATGCAGATTTTATTTGACCTTGACCTCATTTTCAAGGTTCATTGCTCAGTGTTAAGTTTTTGTGTTTTGGTCTGTTTTTCTTAAACTATAAGCAATAGGTCAACTATATTTGTTGTATGGAAGAATTGTTAGCTGTACATGCCTGCCTAGCATGGTTCATCTGACCTTGACCTCATTTTCATGATTCATTGGTCAATGTTTAGTTTACTTGGTTAATGTTAAGTTTATGTGACAGTTGTAATAAAGCTTAATATTTAGGACTCTCAACATAATATCAATGATTAGTAAAGGAGGCGAGACATTTTAGCGTGTGCACTCTTGTTGAATTTAAAATAAAGGTAGATAACTCCTTTTTGCAATAATTCTTGACGAAACAGAAGATGAACAGGTGATTTGAAATATAATCTTGCAAGCAATTCCTTGACTGTTGCATCTCCTTCTGACATGTCTGAAGAATTGTCAACTTATAATATCTCAAAAACTGTAAGTTCAGAAATTTTGCATGCATTTAATTTAGCGAATGTCAGACAATGATCAGAATTGCGAGATTGATTTAGTTTATATTAGGATTTCGTTGGGAATTAGTGCATTTTAAATGCTGTTAAAATTTATGAAACTTTATATCTTGTCAACAGTTTTCATAATAATAAAAATTTACCAAAAAATTCTGAATTTACAGTTCTGAATAGAAGAAGAAGAAAAATCATGCAATTATTTTTTCATCATTATTTCATGTTTTATTTCAGGTTTTGAATGCCTTGAATGACCTTGATAAAGTGACCTCATTTACAGACTTTGTGAATTACTTCAGCAAGTTTGGGAATGATATGGTAGAACTTGCCCATCTTACAGGGGACAGGCAAAATGTAAGTATAATCATCAAGGTAATAAGGCCTTTGAAGTTGCAGCCAAAAACACACAATCAATACAGAAAAGGCATTGAATGAAAAATTTCAGTATTTAAGTTGACAAACTACATAACACCTAGTCAAGAGATTGTTCTAATGTCTATCAGTCTGTTATAGGACTTGCTGGGGCCATAGGATGTAAGAGCCCAGCCCATATAGAAAACATGGAAATTGCTGGCTCATATTTGCTAAAATGCCTTTAGGATAAATGAAAGCTTTATTTTCATCAACCCTCAGTTTGTGTGCTTATATCCTATGACCTAGAACAAGTTTAAACATGACTGTGTTTTCATTTATGATATCACACTTGGATGGAAATGTTGTTCTACAGCGTTGAATATTATTTGTCATAATCAATGCTGTACAAACAATATTTGAAACATTTGTCTTTTTGAATTACGATGATTTTGGTATACTCTAAAAAAACAAAACAAAAGTAAAACAACTCTGTTTTACATTGCAAATTTGTTTTGGAATTGAATTTTGCAATGTTTTAAACTCTTATAGGATATAAAAGTGAGAAACTACAATGTAAAAAAAACCAAAGTAAATCTTGTACCTTCTTACATTACAACCTTGTTTCAAAAAATTAAATTTTTAATTGTTTAAATTTCTTATAGGATCTAAAAAGTGAGAAACACAGAGCACAAATGGGTGCAGCCAGAGCCATATTAGAGAGATCAACTTCAATGTTGCTACCATCATGCAAGGTAAAAATATTTGCTTCAGAAAAAAATTTAAAAACTGGGTCCATTTGTGTTTAAACAGTTGCACTAAAACCAATGGTCAAGTTTTTTTCATATAAATCTTGATGATTACCATTTGTTAATATATAGGTGGTGTACTGTACAAAAACATTTTTTTTCTAAGAAGTAATAAAGTATTAAATATTAAAAAATGGCTTTAATAAAAGCATTTTAAAGAATAAACAAATGAATCACTCCGATCCATCCTGCATCAATAAATGATACTTATAAACTTATTTGTTCTGTGGTCAGTCAAAAATGCACTTGGAGAGAACACTACAGTAAAACGAACACATTTAAAAGATAGGAGATAGAAACCAAAGGGACATTCGAATGCATCAGTCAAAAATAAACTGACAATACCATGGCAAAAAAATGAAATAGATCCAAAGACAAATAACAGTATACAAAACACAACATAGAAAACTAAAGACTGAGCAACAGGAACCCCTCAAAAACCAGGGTTGATCTCAGGTGCTCTGAAAGAGTAAGCAGATCCTGCATGTGGCATGTTGCATAACACAAAACATCAATACCACTATTAAATTTAAAATGAACAGTACTGTAATATTGAAAGCAAGCTTAAATAACTATGAATTTCCTGTGAAATTGTGTCTTCTAACAATCAAATATTATCTTAACTAACTTATTTCTGCAAACGATTTATATACATAAATTTGTGGGTAGGGAAATAACACGAAAATGTTAAACTTGATCTTTTTTAAGATCTTAGATATATTTTAGTCAACAAAGCGTGAAAAAGCAAAAATTAAGCATATTTTGACTGATATATAATGTCAGATCAATTCTCAATCCCAAGATTTCTCTAAATTACAAGTTTTTATAATTACTTGAATATTATTTTTCAGACATGTTTAAGACACCCAGACTGTGGAACAGCTAAAAGAAACAGGGACTGTGTCTTCAAACAGATGAGACAAGCTCTGAACATGATACATTTCATTGTGACAGATGGAGGATGTAGTCAGATGAACGGTCACAGTTCACCGATTACAAATGGGGATTCTGGGATTGGTTTAGATAATGTTCATCCATTGGCCAGTAAAGCATTGAAAGATTTAGAGGTAACTATGGTAACAACTAGCAATTTATAAAAGTGAACTTATGAATACATGTAGTTACTTATGTAACAGCCACTATGTTTCGTCAGTTACTTTGTTCCGGCGGAACTTTTCAACTAGTTATTTCGTTCTGATGGAACTTTCCAACTAGTTGTTTTATTCGGAGTGCAGTCGAAAAGTTCCGGAAAAAAGTAGCTAGTTGAAAAGTCCCGGAACAATGTAGCTAGTTGATTAGTTCTGGCGGAACAGAACAACTAGTTACATCGTTACGAATACACCATATTTCGTCCTTTTTGTAGAAAGAGGGGGAAGAATGAGTATCAGTATATATAAGAGCAAATCATTAATTTACAAGAATACCCAACGCACTGAAAGGGGTTTCTTTGGGGACAAATATGCAAAATTTAAGTTGTATTTCATAGCTCACATAAAACGGAATAAGTTGCATTATCATGCAAATTTAGTATTCATAGTACCCTCAAGAGAGGGAAGAATACCCCCTCCTTATGTGGTTCTTTGCATCAATTCTCCAAATGGAACTTTGTGACTGGTTGATAAGTTCCGTTGGAACTTTTGGGCTAGTTTGTTAGTCCCGGTTTTGACTTATTTGCCAAAGAGGAACTTTGTGGCTAGTTGATAAGTTCCTTTTGACTTTTGTAATCAGTATCTTGGTTTCCCTTTGAAAGGTTCAAATATAATATGTTGCGTTTTTACTTTGCATCATTTCTCCAAATGGAACTTTCTGCCTGGTTGATAAGTTCCGTTGGAACTTTTGGCCTAGTTTGTTAGTTCCGGTTTTGACTAATTTGGCAAAAAGGAACTTTCTAACTAGTTGATATGTTCCGTTGGAACTTTTCAACTAGTCACTTTGTTCCAGTGGAACTTTTAAACCAGAGGAAGAACAAAGTAACTAGTTAATAAGTTCCTCCGGAACTTTTCGGCTAGTTAGTTCTTTCCGCCCGGAACTTTCCAAGGTCGGAACAAAAGAGCATTTACACTTACATCCATGTCTTTTGGTCTAATGTGAAAGGTTGTCTCTCTCATTGACAGTCATACCACATCTCCTTATTTTTGTATCAAACATTTTTGGAGAATTTGTCACTTCTCTCAAATTTCTAAAAAAAATAAAATGTATTGATTTCTAGATAAGAAAACTGTATTAAACAAGATGCTGTTTCAAAATTGACAAAATGTTTCTAAGTTTCAGTCTTTTAAATAAAAGGAACTTTCTTCATTACTGGTAATTAATTAACTACCAAAAGTACCCAATAATTAAGGTAGACATTATACATATAGTATTGGTAGGTAATCCCTTAACTTTGGTCAAATGACTCAAACAATTGGTACCATTTGGATTAGATATATGATATCTTCATTGCCATGATTATAATTTTTTTACTTCTTTATCTTCACATTCCAATTATTGTCTACCTGCTTCTTCCATTCCTGCAGTTAGAAAAAACAATATTAAAGATAATATTGACTGTCTTTAAAAGTTAATAGTAAATTATTTACCTTTTTTGTGTGTGAAATTATTCACATTATAGAAAATGGAACCGTTGACTATATGTTCAAAGGGAGATAATTGAGTATAAACATAATTATCTGCCCTGTGCAATTTTAAGATCATTTCTGTAAGTGTGATACCTACATGACCTACGAACATTTATATAATGGCATAAATGGCAACAATGCTGACACAGGGGTTCAAATTAACATTTGGTACTTGAAGGTCCAGGACCTTTGACACTCCAAACTGAAAGGTCCACAACCTAAATTCCAGGTTCTATTTTTACTTGAAATATTTCCTAACATAGTAAGATACAAGTAACAAAATTAATGTGCTGTTGGTGTTAGGTCAACTTGTTTCATTGTCAAAGTCACTGTTGTATAAAATATTTAATAACAATTGTAATTGTCTTGTATATTATAAATTCAGATAGTCTTTTTTTTTTATTGAGGAGGGTGTCACCATGGGTGGGTGTGTTGTCTCAACTATTGGTAATTTATTTCTACTTATACCATTTTATAAAACAGTTCAAATTCAAAGCTGTTTAAGCAGAGACGTATATACATGTGTTTCTCTAATTCTTCGTCAATTTATCCCTCTCTGCACCCATTGTATAAACAAAATTTAATCAACGTGTGGTTCGTTTGATCTCCGTTCTTCATTGGTTAAAATCCGATTATGACGTCGAATTTTCTTGCTTTCCTCTGAATTTCCTATTGTGACGGCATAAAAAACGGCGACCATGCCTGATGATGTCACATAGAAAGAACACATCTTTTTGCAGATCATTCGAAAATAATGAATAAATTCGCCTGCGTATTGTTTGAAAATCATTAGAGAAACAGATTCCACCACCAAATCTCGTGTAATACGATATTTATCCACTCTCGGCAGTTATATTTTAAATATTTAAAACGCTCGGCGAGCCTCGCGTTTTAAATTTGAAAATTTAACTGTCTCGAGTGGATAAATATCGTATCACACTCGATGCAGTGGTAGAATCTATATATATATATATATATGTCTCTGGTTTAAGTGTATCATATCTAGTTGCACTATTATAATGCATTTAATTTAGTTCCTCTGTGAAAATAAGATAAGAAACTTCCAGATTTGTACTGGTCCTTTAAAATTGAGAAGACATTACCTCTTGGAATTGTAGTAATACGTTTGCACTATACAAAAATCTACATGTAATATCAATATTTATTAATGATAAAGAAAATTACTGTCACATTTTTTTGGATTTTGAGATAAAAAATTTATGAACTAAAAGTAAATTTTGAGTTTCTGTAAAAAAATATTTCCTACTTTTTCTTTCTTTTCAATATATCTTTTGGTTTTCAATTCTAGTGTTTATATTTTATCATCATAGATGTATTTTGTCAACTGCCTAAAATTATTATTTTTTCATTGTAATTGATCGGCAAACCCGGAATTACCCTTATCCGCTCCTGAATCGGCAATTTCCGGTATAAAGCTAGCGGTTGAACAAAATGAACATCGCTGTCATGAATAATAATGATGAAAATAAATTTTGAGATTGTTTGGAAATTTGTGTTTAAAAAGGTCGGCAAAGTTTATTTTTATTTTCTTTCAAACTGAAGGTCCGTCGGGCGTAGCTTGTAACCAAAACGAGAGTCCGACTGCAAAAATGGAAGGTCGCGGACCTCGGACCACCGCTAATTTGAACCCCTGTGACATTGAATGAAATAAAAGTGTTTCAATTAAAATGTGCAAATATAATTTAAGAGGAACAGAACTTACTTATAATCAAATTCACATTTTGAAGTTATCCCCTTTAAATTACTGTACAGTCTCTATTTAAACCAAAATAATTAGTAAAAAACATTGAGTGGTCATAATTATATAAAAGAATTAATGTAGTCTAATAAAAAATACATCTTTTTGATTTCTTGTGACAATTATATGATTTATTGTATCACCTGACAGCATCCTGCTGTTTGTATCAATATGATATTATCCATTTCTTCATAGTCAAGTTCATTCTTTAAGTTAATTCGAAACTCTCCCAAAATGACTTGACAGAATTCAGCCAACTTGTACACAGATTCTTCAAGTAAACAACATTTTAACCTTTTAAGAAATAGTCTCCAAACAGTATTGTGTTACCAGAGGCTCAGAAAATGGTTTCCTCAACAAAAATGTCAATACATCCTTACAAAAAAAATTCTGCAATTGTAAAACCCTCCTCTACAGGAAATTGATAAATATGTATTAGTTATACCCCCGCTTTAAAAAAGTGAGGGTATACTGTTTTACCTCTGTCTGTCCATCCATCCATCCGTCAGTCTGTCAGTCCGTCAGTCCGTCCATCCATCCCATGAAAATTTTTTTGTCACATTTTTATCAGGAACTACAATACAATTTCTAAAATTTGGTTTCAAGGTTTATGTAAGTCGGCTATACCGTGTGATGTGTTTTCAGATTCATCACTCAACAACTTCCTGTTTACCGAACACTTGTATCATTTTACACATGATAGCCAAGTTGAAAATTTTCGGCACATTTTTCTCAGGATCCACAATAAAAGGATTTCTGAAATTTGGTTTCAGGGTTTATATAAGTCGGCTATACTGTGTGATGCGTTTTCAGATTCATCACTCAACAACTTCCTGTTTACAGAAATATTTGGGCAGGGGTATCATCAGCAGTGATTTTGCTAGCGCTCGTCATTTTCGTCATTTGAAACGGTTTTTAAAATGACAAAAGTATTCCAAATCAATTTCGTCACTTAAATTTGGAAAGAGTAAAAATATTTTTGCATGAAAATACTATAATTCTACCTGTCTTATTGTTTCTGACAAGTTTATGACCCTCAGCTAATTAACATTTACAACAGGTGTTATAAGTTGTGATTACAGATAATCCGCTTATCGCCATCGGATGGGTCACTAATCCGTTAATTATTTATCAACCTCATAATTGATCATCATAATTATTTTCCCCAGTAAAATCAGTCAGTCGGCATTTCAATTTCAATATTTATCAAACGAGCATAATTTGCAGTTTGTTTGTCGTAGTTTCGTCATTTGAGTTTTCCCTCGAACAGTTCGCATTTTAATTTCAATATTTCCTAAACGATCACAATTTGCAGTTCGCTTGTCGTAGTTTCGTCAAATGAACGTATTTTCGTCATATTTGATATAACTTTTAATCAAAAACTTTTGACAATTTAGATTAAAAAGATAGAACTTTATTCATAACATTCAGAAATGTTTACGCGAGTCAAACAGGTGCTACCTTTACGATGAACTGCGCATGCGCGAAATTATTATTATGAATTTAAAGACACTAAAACGTAAAATACGAAATAATTAAGTATCAAACTAAATGAGAGAGACAAATATAGTTCTTATTTAGCAAATTTAAATTAAAAAAGATAATTTACTGCCTTTTTAAACACGAACCAATCCGTAGATGAATCCGGATTCATTCTGAATTTATTATCCACTTGTCACTTCCCGTTTTCATTTCATTTGGAAATCGAAAGTAAACATGATCTATTCATGATAAATTTACAATTTAAAGTCATTAAAATTGTTCCAATAAGGATTTGTACAAATCCTTGGTTCCAACTTTATAGAATTAATTCTAAATATCGCTTTAAAACTTTTTTAAGGATAATGAGTATGAATAATGCAGTGAAATAGTCCTTACAAGTTCATTTATGCTGTGATTCCTGGTTTAAAAAAAATGTGGATCCCAACTTTTGCTGATTAGGAATGTACCCTGAAACTAACTGAAGTGAAATTGTGAACTAGATTTCTACATCTTATATCCTAATCTTTGTATTAAAGTGCCACATCAGTCAAATCATGCAGTAACTGCCTAGTATGCCTAAGTCCTACACAGTCTGACAAAGATGTAAATATAGTAATATACATCCTAGGTTCCTTGCTGCTACCCAAAATAAGGTTGATTTTCATCCTGCGCAAAAGTGACTAAAGCCCTCAAAATCCTAGCGTAAACCCTGATCGTCAGTGAGCAGTAGCTAGCAGTTTCATTAGTTTTCTTTACCAGACAGTACATTGAGAAATCATGGCATATTTAATGATATTTTGTTCTTTTGTTTTATCAACTGAGGTGCAATTCATTGAACATGACAAAAAATTAAGTATGTAAAGTTTTCTCTTTAAAAAATGGAGGACAGGTCAATTTTTTTCACAAGCCAGATAACTAGATATGTTAAGTCTTAAATGAATCTTGTTACGGTATCATAAACTTTGGATTACCAGAAACATATAGATTTCACCACTGCAACAAGTGTGTTACGATATTTCTCCACTCGAGACAGTTCAATTTTGATATTTAAAGCGCGAGGCTTGCCGAGCTTTTTAAATAATTAAAATTTAACTGTTGAGAGTGGAGAACTATTGAAATAAACGAGTTATAGTGGTGGAATCTGTTTCTCTAATGATTTTTATCCTTCCTGTTCAAAGATTTGCAACAAGTTTTGTTCTTTATATGTGACGTCATCAGGTATAGTCACCTTTTTTCATGACGTCACAATAGGAAAATTCAGAAGAAAGCAAGAAAATTTGACGTCATAATTAAATTTCGACCAATCATTTCCTGAGAACAGATATTTCACTAGTGAGGAGAAATATTTTTCTCACACCGATCAAGAAATGTGAAAATAGCACAAAAATAAGATAAAGAGCAGTTTACAATCAATCAGAAAACAAACATTGATGAAGATTTAATACATCCCTCCTGAAAATAAAAGTTAAACTATTTGTTAACAGGAAGCAGTAGAGGTGACCAGATTAGGTCTCTAAAACTAAAATGTAATTATTTGTTAACAGGAAGCAGAAGAGTTGACCAGATTAGGTCTCTAAAAATAAAGTGTAATTATTTGTTTACAGGAAGCAGTAGAGTTGACCAGATTAGGTCTCTAAAAATAAAGTGTAATTATTTGTTTACAGGAAGCAGTAGAGTTGGCCAGGTTAGGTCTCTAAAAATAAAATGTAATTATTTGTTTACAGGAAGCAGTAGAGTTGACCAGAGTTACTGGTGTGTCTGGTCAGTCCTGTGAGAAGTTACACAGTGCCTTGGATAGTGTGATTGAGACTGCTCAGGACTTCACTGACTCCGCCTACACATCACATGACAATAGGGAGAAAATAGTGCAGTCATGTGACCAACTTAAAAGTGATCTGCAAACAGTTTTTGAGAAATCATCTAGTCAGGTAAATATAGTACTCTTTAATCCGCACACCAGCCTGGCAATTTGCATCTTTCAGTAAAGACTGCAGACAAGACATGGTAGAATACGGTACATATACAAAATCTTCATTTGTTTGGGAAATCATGCTACTTTTGAAAAATGATATAAGTGTGTTGCATTTATCAAAACATTTTAAAAGTCAAACACTTAATTGATGACAGTGAATAAAACCATTTAGCAAAATGTCCACCCTCCCAGCTCAGAGCAAGACAAAACAGGCCAAGGCAACAGTTCAGAGACTCCATATCAGCTGTGAACTCAATTGAAAACTAAGTTTGTTTATTGGTGTTTAAAACCATTTTCCGATACCTTGGCAATATAATGATTGCCAATTTATATTGGTTGAGGAAGCCAGATTACCTTGAGAGAATCAGTTACCTTCAGCAGTATAAACTGTCAATCTGAAAATTCAAATGTCTGTGCTCTCAACAAAAACAAAAATAGCAGAGACATTAGTACTATTAAATAACAATATAAACATAGGGTAATGTAGCATGTTTGAAATTAAGTTACCTTTTATGATGTTGTTCATTCTTTAAATTTGAAGTTCAAGCTTCTGTCTATTTGTATATTCACTGCATCTTGACTATTGGCTACACTTTAATTGAAAATTATTGGATGTTTTAAACTTGTTAATACCGTAATGGGGCTTGTATAGTTCGCACTGGTACATAGTCCGCACCCCCTTCTCCCCACGAAATTTAAAGTAAAAAAACTTCTTGTAACTGTTAGAAAAAGTCTAATGAATCTCCGGTAATTTTAAATCGTGTATGGTTGTTTGCGGTATTTTCTTGGAAAAACCTATTTTCCATCACCAAACAGAAGCTGTAACTGCTTGTAAATGGTTCTAAAACACTTCACACTGGTTAAAATAAGTCTAAATCACACTAAAAACAATTTAGAAACTTGTGTATGTTTAAACCGGAAGTTTGAAAAGCACGTGTAAAAGATGAAAAAACCTGGTGAGAGTCGAAATCCGTACACAATAGATATCACTATAATACGACTTTGAAAGTAAAACAGTTCCCTCCTTATGTAAAACAGTGTTTAATATATCTATCACATTAATGTTTGAAGGGTCTTAAGCTAATACAAAACATATTTGTCAATAGGAAACACCAAAACCGAACGAATAATAACCGATTTCGTTTTGTAGTTTACACATCGTAAGCTGGTTTACAGTTGTCTTTTTTTACTTTTTTTGTACAATTTCATTCAAGCAGATACCAGTTTATATTTAGCAATGCATTGAAAAGAAACTAGAATTTTGAAATGAAGCATTTAATTTTTATTCAGTATTTATTTGATATTGAATAAAAATAACTTATTAATATGGATTGGGTAAAATTATTGGTTTGAAAAATGATAAGAGTGCCCTCTACAATGTCAATAACAAACATGGCGGAACGTAAACAAACCACATCGCGAAATTGAAATTTTCTCTCTTATTTCTTGCTCATTGTACTCTATAGTCCGCACCCCTGCTGTCATGTTCAATTTTGGAAAATAAAACCGCGGACTATACAAGACTTTTAACGGTAACTGAAAACCTGGCATAACATTGTTATTTCTATTTTTACAGAATCATTATGAAGTGTTGTCAACGCAATATTTTTTTTTATGTCAGCATAAAGTTATTTGTTAAATACACAATGATATTTTTTGTCTACACAATGATGTTTTTTGTCTACACAATGATGTTTTTTTTTCTACACGATGTTGTTTGTTGTCTACACAATGATGTTTTTTGTCTACACAATGATGTTTTTTTGTCTACACAATGATGTTTTTTTGTCTACACAATGTTGTTTGTTGTCTACACAATGATGTTTTTTGTCTACACAATGATGGTTTTTTGTTTACATAATATTGTATCTATTTTTACAGAATCAGAATGATTTGTTATCTACACAGGAAGCAGAGACTGCTGTTTTGAAAACTATAACATCAGTTAATGGCCTCAAGAAACAGGTTAGTTTACTCACTTCTATTTTAAATTCATATTCTTTCCCCCAAGTTTTGAAAATAATGTAAATTTCCAAAAAATTGCTTGCATTTATTATTGCAATATTTTAACATTGGACAGAAATGTCTGTCACAATTTTGAACAATAAAAACATATCAAAATTATCTGAATTTACAGTACATTGAACTTGTTCACTGATATCTTTTTGGTGATTATCATCCTAAAATGTATTTTATGTTTGTAATGGATCACAAATTATGAATTATTTCACATTTTTCATGTCAGGGCCAACTCTGCATTATGGTTTTTTTTCTCATTGTTGAAGGTCTATTATTGCTTACATCAACTTCATTTTAACTTTGGTTAATAGTTGTCTCAGTGGAAATCATACCACATCTCCTTATTATTATACAGTTAACTTCAAACGTGATCAGGATGTTAAGAAATCATCTATCAATGAATCAATCAAAAGTGATCAGAGCTGGATGGATAGTTTAAAGACTATAATCCAGATGATGTTTCCATTAGAAGTTTCAACCATATGTATTCCATTCCGATTGAGAGATTTAGATATTAACATATGTCTAATGTTGAAAACTAGATGTCTTCTTTTTTCGGTATTGTTGCGTAAAACTGCTTAAACATCATCATTTAATATATTACCAGTAATAAAGATAAAATTCTTTTTTTTTTAACCACACAACAAATTGAACCAATGACTTACCAAAACTTTTCATCGGAAACAAAATTATAAAGACAGGAAAAAGTAGCCAATCACTGATTGGCTAGATAGATTGAGGTATTTATTCCTATTTTAACATACCGTACAACAAGATTATTAATTGCTTTCATTTTTTTGTAGCTTCAAGAAACAGCTATGGACCAAGCATCAGAATTATTCAAAGCAAATGAAGACCATGACCTATTAAAATGTCTCAAACTTGGTGGAATCAATGGGAATGTCAAGAAAGTAGATGAACTGTCAGTTAAATTTGAAGAACACAGAGAACAGCTTGAGGAGGTACAGCAATATTTCATAGAAGACTCAAGCATGTTATATAATAGTGGAATAATTTTCTTCAATTAAGTTGAGTTTCATGTTTTTTTCTCTTGTGATTAATGTTGCTGAACACCAGACAGAGGTGTTGCTTTTCCATTGAAAAGGATAGGTGTCATCATTGTCGTTGGTGTTAACAATTGTTTAGTTTTTGCTTAAGTTGGTTTGATAGGAACTACTTGTGATAGATCATTGATATTTCCTATAAAGTTGTATTACTATCAGTACATATCAGTTTGACCACTATTTCGAGACCGTGCCCCCTAAACCATGGTCCAGTGACTGAATTAATTAGCAATTTTCAATGTTTAGTATTCTGCTAAAGTTAGTTGATAGGGACTATTTATGATTCATCAATAATATTTTGGGACTATTTATGATTCATCAATAATATTTTGGGACTATTTATGATTCATCAATAATATGTTCTATAAAGTTGCATTACTATCAGTACATATCAGATTGACAACTATTTCATGGCCCTTCCCCTGAAGGTCATGGTCCAGTAACTTTCAATTAATTACCAATTTTCAATGTTAAGTTTTCTGCTTAAGTTAGTTTGATACGAATAGGTATGATAGACACTGAAATTTTCTATAAAGTTGCATTACTATTACTACATCTCAGTTTGTCAGCTATTTCAAGGCCCTGTCCCCTAGGTCATGGTTGAATGACTTTTGATTAATTACCAATTTTCAATGTTAAGTTTTCTGATAAGTTAGTTTGATAGGAGCTACTTGCATTGTGATAGATCAATGATATTTTTTATAAAGTTGCATAACTATCAGTACATCTCAGTTTGTTGAGCATTTCGATGCCCTTCCCTATAAGTCATGGTCCAGCAACTTTGAATTAATTAGCAATGTTGCTGTCCATCAGAGTGTCTTTTTTCTGAGTTTTCTGCCAAAAGGTGGAACATATCTGTGTCAACAGTTTATTTTACCCCTGTTACTGCTAGTGAAAGTGTTCTTAGTGGTGATATCCACCACTGGTAACAGCAACAAAGTACTGTGGATTCATTATTATTCGTTGCATACCAATTTTCCTGGACTTCGTGGTAACAGGGGAACCACAAATTTAAATGTTCAACAAATGACTAATTTTCTATAGAAATGTATACATACTTTTGCTAAACCACAAAATTAACTATCCACTAATATGCAAGTGTTCCTCAATCCACGAAAATAAATGACTCAACAGAATAAGGTATTCATGGTGTCCGTATATACATTGCACTGTCTATTCGTTCAACTACCTTGAAATTAATTTAGCCAAACTAATGATATTACTAAGTCGGGTAGTGTTGATGTGCACCTTGTACATATTTATACCCCACGCAACGAGTTGCGGAGGGTATAATGTTTTTGACCCGTCCGTCCGTCTGTCCGTCCGTCCGTCAGTCCTGTTTCTTGTCATCGCAACTCCTCTCAAACCACACAACAGAATTTCACGAAACCTTTTTAGATAATAAGGACATACATGTACTATGTAGTTGTGCATATTAACAGGAAATTACGATTCAATTTTTTTCTCCAGGAGTTACGCCCCTTTGAACTTATTTGCCCAATATACTACTGCAACAGTTTGTCATCGCAACTCCTCTCAAACAACACATCAGAATTTCATGAAACCTTTTCAGATAATAAGGACATACTACGTAGATGTGCATATCGACAGGAAATTACGATTCAATTTTTTTTTCCAGGAGTTACACCCCTTTGAACTTATTTGCCCAATATACTACTGCAACCTTTTGTCATCTCAACTCCTCTCAAACCACACAACAGAATTTCACAAAACTTTTTTAGATAATAAGGACATACTATCTAGTTGTGCATATCGACAGGAAATTATGATTCAATTGTTTTTCTAGGAGTTACGCCCCTTTGAACTTATTTACTTTAATGTACTACTGCAACAGTTTGTCATCGCAACTCCTCTCAAACCACACAACAGAATTTCATGAAACCTTTTCAGATAATAAGGACATACTACGTAGATGTGCATATCGACAGGAAATTACAATTCAATTTTTTTTTCAGAAGTTACGCCCCTTTGAACTTATTTGCCCAATATACTACTGCAACCTTCTGTCATCGCAACTCCTCTCAAACCACACAACAGAATTTCACGAAACCTTTTTAGATAATAAGGACATACTATGTAGATGTGCATATTGACAGGAAATTACGATTCAATTTTTTTTTCAGGAGTTATGCCCCTTTGAACTTATTTGCCCAATATACTACTGCCAACAGTTTGTCATCGCAACTCCTCTCAAACCACACAACAGAATTACATGAAACCTTTTCAGATAATAAGGACATACTACGTAGATGTGCATATTGACAGGAAATTATGATTCAATTTTTTTTTTTGATACAATTTTTTTTTCTTACACTTATTTTATTTCTCCAATGACAATGTGGGGACGTGGGGTATGTGAGTGCGCTCACTAAGGTTCTTTCATTTTTGCATTTAAGGAATACAGAGGCCATTGAGGAAAAAATTGAAAGGGGAAGTCCTGTATTTGTATTGAATTAGGATTACACCTGCAAACTTCATTATCAACTCCCAAACCAATCAGTGTTTTAAATTACATACAAGTTTCACATATTTGACAGTTAAGCACCATGCATTTAACTAGTAAGAGATAAATCATGATTTATATCTTTGATATTAGTATCAGAATATTCAATGAGTGATTGCTATTATAAAAATTTCCATCCATTAGAAATTAAAAAAAAATGTCAGTTGTGAACAAAACCCTATTTAATGAGTTTATTTTGTTTTGAGGCATCAATATAAAACAAATATATATTAGCATCAGTGATTTTCAGTTGTTTAATGATACAGGCAGACTGAAATAACTGGTAAATTACCACACAAGACAAAGATAAAATAGGGGGAGGGTTGTGTTCTAAATAAAAGTAGGTTAAGTCTGCCACTTATTCATGTGCCTGTCTCAAAATCTGGATCCTTGTCTGACAGTAAGTTGTCTCTAATCATATTTTACTGTATTTATTTATTTACCTAACATTGATTCTAAATCTTTGATTTGAATTTATTTACAACTTTGTATAGACTAGGGCTTGACATATTGTACAGACAATTTGTCTATATGTTGAAGACCTATATCATGTATATGTATTCATGATCTTTTAATGACTTTTGGTACTTTGTGCACTTGGGTTGCTGTGTTGACATTGGTGTTTATCTAACATGTCTTTTTTCATTCTTATATAAGACATTCATAATTCAAGAAAAAAAACTAATATCGCTCACAACAACATTTATGGACTCGTTATTTTCATTTTTGTCCCACAATAATTTGTAAAAATATTAGCCTTGTACATTGTTTTATATTTCTAGGTGTGTAAGCTGTTCCGACATATAGCTACAACAGAGCCACTGGTCATTACAGCTGAACATAATGAGTATGTTCTTAGGAATATAGGGGAGATGGTAGGTAAAAAAAAAAATTTTTTTTTTCAAAATCGACATTTTTGAGATGATTATTTTAGTAATTTCCATCCTCAGCATATCCTCATATTCTTACTACAGATAAAATACTAAAATTTTATGAAACAATTCAATTTTTTTAAGTTAATAAAAAAGATAAGGTTAATGCAGGTAGTTGTCAGTGAAGTATGTACAGAAAAATGTAAGTTTTGGAGGCCATGTCAAATGATTATGCCCCAGGTGGGTCTTCAACACAGGGAGAAAATCCTGCATCTGGAGGTGGGCTTTAGCTGGCCCGTAAACAAAAATGTATACTGGTAACAACAGTTTACTTAAGAATTAATTTCATAATACACTGTCAGAAAGTAATTTTTTGTTTATTTTAGGTTTTGCTAGCTGCCAGAACACTTGCAGAATATTCCAATAGTAAAATTGCTCGAGAAAATCTGGAGAATTTTGCAGAGGCATGGGAGAGTCAGATTAATGACCTTTCTGTTCTGGTAAAGGAAGTCAATGATTTTTGTCAAGGACGTATGGATAAACCTGTTTATTTGTCATTACCAAGACCAGGGGTTAGTATTTTATAATTCTTAAAGGTGCATTACATTTGCCTCATTCTATAAATAAACAGTGGTCTAACCAGATTTTCATACATGACTAATAATCTTTCCTAAGTATCAAATGATACCAAAATTCCTCTGCCATATTTCTGTAAGAATTATCTAATATTAATCACTCCCCATAAAATCCACCATAGATGCCACTATTGGTGTAAGAGCTGCTTACCCATCTAGAGTACAAATGTACCTGTGTTCACCCCTGATTTTCAAGGGAGTTCTTCTGTGTACTGTTTTGAAGCCAGTTGTTTGGCTTTGTCTTTTCTTTTCTCACTTGGATGCCTTCTATCTGTTGATTATTTCCCATGGTATCTTAATTCTTTTTGTAAACATGAATAAAAAATGTTTCTTAGTTATCGTTGTAGATGGGAGGCAACTCTTGTTCCAATTACATCAAAATATAGTAGGAATGAGTATTATTTAGTCATCCAAATCTAGAAGTGTTGGGATTGGGAGTACATGAAGGATTCTGTTGGCCACTTACACCCTACATGTGTATATTTCGTATTTCACTGGGTTTTTTTTTTTTTGCTTTATGTAGAACATCAGGTGTGGTTCAAAGAACAAAGAGATCCTAAATTTTTTTATAGAACTTAAATTTTAGGGTTGTCATGTTTTTGAACACACATTTTTCTTCAAATTTAAATCATGGTTTCCTGTCACTTAGTACACATCACTGATGAATAATATTTGGTGAGCATTAAATTTTGTGCTTTTAGTCAAAATTGAAGTCACAAAAATTGGTTTTCGATGAGAAGTATTAGATTTGATATCTTCAGCTTAGCAGCTGATATTACATTCTTTATATAAGGTATATATGAGATCATTTATTGTCTCATACTAACATTCACACATTTACTAACAGACAGCACCTAACACACCACAAGTAAGTTATCTATATATAAGGGAGATAATTTATTGTCGAATACTTACATTGACACATTTATTGTCACATACTAACATTAACACATTTATTGTCACATACTAACATTAACACATACTAACATTAACACATTTATTGTCACATACTAACATTAACACATACTAACATTAACACATTTACTAACAGCCAGCAACTTACACACCACAAGTAAGTTGTCTATATATAAGGGAGATAATTTATCGTCACAAACTTACATTAACACATTTTCTAACAGCCGACACCTAACACACCAGAAGTAAGTTATCTATATATAATGGAGATAATATATTGTCACATACTAAGTAAGTTATCTATATATAAGGGAGATAATTTATTGTCACATACTATTATTAACACATTTACTAACAGCCAGCACCTAACACACCACAAGTAATTTATTTATATAAAAGGGAGATAATTTATTGTCACATACTAACATTAACACATTTACTAACAGACAGCACCTAACACACCACATGGCACAAGTAAATTATCTATATGTAAGGGAGATAATTTATTGTCACATACAAGTATTAACACATTTACTAACAATTAGTACCTAACACACCACAAGTAAGTTATCTATATAAAAGGAAGACAATTTATTGTCACATACTAACATTAACACATTGACTAACGGCCAGCATCTAACACACCAAAAGTAAGTTATCTTCATAAAGGGGACATAATTTATTGCCCAATACTAACATGTAACATATTTACTAACAGCCAGCACTTAACACACCACAAGTAAGTTATCTATATAAAAGGGAGATAATTTATTGCCCAATACTTTAACAAGTTTACTAACAGACAGCACCTAACACACCACAAGTAAGTTATCTATATATAAGGGAGATAATTTATTGTCAAATACTAACATTAACACATTTTCTAACAGACAGCACCTAACACACCACAAGTAAGTTATATGTGTTGTGTTTACATTGTCTTTTGTATTGATATTATGTTGAATTAAAAATCATATATAATATGCATGTGTTTAATCTGAATAATTTCTAGAGTTTGTTTGCCTATTTTTTGTTTTCTATGAATGTTGTTATATAAATATGTTAAATCAGAAAATGAATCTAGCCATTAAATTTTAGACATTTCCACATAATCTGAGTATTTAGGATGTCGTTTCTCTTAATTTTGACTTTTTATACGACCGCAAAAAATTTTTGCGGTCGTATATTGGTATGACGTTGGCGGCGGCGTCGTCGTCGTCCGAAAACACATCGGTTTTCGCACTCTAGCTTTAGTTTAAGTGAATGGATCTCTTTGAAATTTTACCACAAGGTAAAATACAACAAAAGGAAGGTTGGGATTGATTTTGGGGGTTATGGTACCAACAGTTAAGGAAATAGGGGCCAAAAAGGGGCCAAAAATAAGCATTTTCTAGTTTCCAGACAATAACTGTGGAACAGTGTATGGATCTCTCTGAAATTATACTTCAAGTTTCCATACCACAAAGGGATGGTTAGGATTTGCTTTGGGGGGTTATGGCTCAAACCGTTTAGGAATTACAGACAAAAAAGGGGGAAAAACAAGGTTGTCCTGGTTAATGGACAAATACTTTAGTACAAAACATAAATTGAAGCAGGGTAAGGGAGATAAATCAAATACATCATTGAAATTACCTCCCTTACACTGCTTTTAAATTATGTATAAAGTAATGGTTAATGAACAATTAAGATAATTTAAAACAGTGTAAGGGAGGTAATCCAAATACAACTTTTTGGTTACTTCCCTTACACTACTTTTTAATTATGTTTAAAGAAATGCATATTTATAAAGGAAGACCAGTAAAAATATCTGCAAATGTTGCATCTTTTTTTTTTACAAAAAAATCCATATGAAAGATTTGACACTATATTTTAAATTCTATTATAAAATAGATTAAGTTAGCACTATGGTAAATTTAAATGGGTAATTATGGTTGCAAACTCCATTGGAAATTTGAATTGAGATTATGACCATATCTTGAGGGAAAGAATTTTTTGGGGAAAAAGGGGGGGGGGGGGGGGGGGGGGGTAAAAAGAAATTGTTGGGGGTCAATTTTTTCTCATTATTATTGCGAAAAATGCGACAGGGTTATAATCACAATAATTTAAACTCGCAATTTGAAATTTTTTATGTGAATTTAAGAGGATTTTTCTCAATATCGCAAAAAATAAAATTGCATTGTAGTCTAAAATGACAAAATCGCAATAATAAATGCACGCAATAATTTCTGAATTTACAGTATTATTTTTTTTTCAAATTTCAAATATTGAAAAATTTCAAGAAGTAATCTTTAATTGCACAGTATGGCGCATTAGATTTGTAAAATCTTTGACCACATTTATTTATTTGTTATGCCGAATCTAACCGTGTATTTAGATTTTTAATTTTTGGGTCCAGTTTTCTACATTAAGGTCCAAAGGGTCCAAAATTAAACTTTGTTTGATTTTAACAAAAATTGAATATATGGGGTTCTTTGATATGCTGAATCTAAACATGTATTTAGATTTTAGATTTTTGGCCCAGTTTTCAAGTTGGTCCAAATTGGGGTCCAAAATTAAACTTTGTTTGATTTCAACAAAAATTGAATATATGGGGTTCTTTGATATGCTGAATCTAACCATGTATTTAGAATTTTTTATTTGTGGGCATGCTATCAAATTGGTTCATATTGAGGTCAAAAGGGTCCAAAATTAAACTTTGTTTGATTTCATCAAAAATTGAATTATTGGGGTTCTTTGATATGCCAAATCTAACCGTGTTTTTATATTTTTCATTTTGGGTCCCGTTTTTTAAATTGGTCTACATTAAGGTCCAAAGGGTCCAAAATTAAACTTAGTTTGATTTTAACAAAAATTGAATTCTTGGGGTTCTATGATATGCTGAATCTAAACATGTGTTTAGATTTTTGATTATGGGCCCAGTTTTCAAGTTGGTTTAAGTTGGGGTCCAAAATTAAACTTTTTTTGATTTCAACAAAAATTGAATATATGGAGTTCTTTGATATGCTGAATCTAACCATGTATTTAGAATTTTTTATTTGTGGGCCCCACTATCAAATTGGTTCATATTGAGGTCAAAAGGGTCCAAAATTAAACTTTGTTTGATTTCATCAAAAATTGAATTATTGGGGTTCTTTGATAAGCCAAATCTAACCGTGGTTTTAGATTTTTCATTTTGAGTCCCGTTTTTTAAATTGGTCTACATTAAGGTCCAAAGGGTCCAAAATTAAACTTAGTTTGATTTTAACAAAAATTGAATTCTTGGGGTTCTTTGATATGCTGAATCTACACATGTGTTTAGATTTTTGATTATGGGCCCAGTTTTCAAGTTTGTCCAAGTTGGGGTCCAAAATTAAACTTTGTTTGATTTCAACAAAAATTGAATATATGGGGTTCTTTGATATGCTGAATCTAACCATGTATTTTGATTTTGGACATTGGACCATAATAGGTAAATTAAAAAAACTCAAGTTCTTAGACCACATTCTTTATGTGTCAGAAACCTATGCTGTGTCAAATATTTAATCACAATCGAATTTCAGATCTGTTTCAAGCTTGAATGTTGTGTCCATACTTGCCCCAACTGTTCAGGGTTCGACCTCTGCGGTCGTATCAAGCTGCACCCAGCGAAGCATTTTATTGTCAAGATATTCCGAAAATTCTCTGGTTTTATCCATGTGGTGCCATTATAAATTTTGCCCGCTAACCCCTACTTTTCTTTTCCTAATTTTATTCCATATAGTTTGAAAAGCCATTTTTGAAAATTTTATAAAATCCTTGATATTTTTTTTTTATATGTTTTGAAAGAAAAAAGGTGCCAATTTTAAATGTATGAAAAATTCAGAGAGAACCATTTCCCACCAATTTTTCAATGACATATATATCTCAAAAACAAGGGCATGGACCTTACATTTTTTTCTGCTTTTTCTGTTCTGTTATTTATATACCGGTACTATCTTTTTATCACAGTCTTTCAAAAAGCTTGTTATTTTGAAACAGAGTAGCAAACATCTTTAATGTTATATGTTTCTATTTTATTTCTTTTGAAAGAAATTTGTATTTTAAGGCTAGCTTTGAAATAACATTAAAACCAAGGTCATCTCTAGGTGATGAGGTTATGTCCCTGCTTGTGTTGATTAATTCACATAATGTGTTAAAAAACCCAGAAAACTCAACATTTCCTTGTTTCAGTCAATTCAAACAAATACAGGTTTTTAAAGATGAAAGAAAAGTACATGTCTAAATGTAATAGCATTATACTGTATATAGAATAAGCAATGCTTTCGTATTTGTACAAAATGCCTGGTGACAGTAATTGATGGTTCCTGATCTTGGACCAGTACTATTCCATAATTTTAGTTTGAAAATGTTTATAGGTGATACTCAAGCAATTGTTAACTTGTTATGCCCCACCTACGATAGTAGAGGGACATTATGTTTTTTCGGTCTGTGCGTCTGTTCGTTCGTCTGTCCGTTCATCCATCCGTCTGTCTGTCCCGCTTCAGGTTAAAGTTTTTGGTCAAGGTAGTTTTTGATGAAGTTGAAGTCCAATCAACTTGAAACTTAGTACACATGTTCCCTATGATATGATCTTTCTAATTTTAATGCCAAATCAGAGTTTTGACCCCAATTTCACAGTCCACTGAACATAGAAAATGAAAGTGCCAGTGGGCAGGTTAAAGTTTTTGGTCAAGGTAGTTTTTGATGAAGTTGAAGTCCAATCAATCTGAAACTTAGTACACATGTTCCCTATGATATGATCTTTCTAATTTTAATGCCAAATTAGAGCTTTGACCCCAATTTCACGGTCCACTGAACATAGAAAAATGATAGTGCGAGTGGGGCGTCCGTGTACTTTGGACACATTATTGTTTTATATATAATAGCATAAAGACTTCTTGTCAACACTACTCCCCAGAGACCATTTGTTTAAAAGCTTTCATACTTAGAGAGATTGATTGTCATAATGTGTAGTAGACCATACTATGAAGCGATATTGATGTAACAATTATCTGCTGGAGTTATGGAACTTTCACAATTTTGATTTAATTTGGTAAAATGACACTCTTAGACCTATAGGTCTAACTTAAACATGATCCTGACAAGCACTTACCCATGAATCTGACAAGTACTTACCCATGAACCTGACAGGCACTTTCCCATAAACTTGACCTTACCAAGCATTTGCTCAATCTTTAGTTTTCTATGTTGTGTAATGTTGAATGTTGTTGTTGTACAACCAAAATTTTTTTGTGTTCGTATTATGTTATTTTATTGTCTGCGACGTTGTTGTCCGAAGACATTTGGTTTGCAGACAATAACTTGAGTATAAGTGTATAGATCTATAAAATTGTACCACAAGGTTCTATACCACAATAGGAAGTTTGGGTTTGATTTTGGGGGTTATTGTTCGTACTGTTATGGAATTAGGGACCAAAAAGGGGTCAAAAACAAGCATTTTTCCTTGTTTCAGGACAATTGCTTGTGTATAAGTGAATGTATCTCTATGAAATTGTACCACAAGGTTCCATATCTCTAAAGGAAGGTTGGGATTGATTTTGGGGATTATGGCATAAACTGTGTAGGGATTAGGGGCCAAAAAAACCCTAAGATTTTCATGTTTCCAGACAATAACTTCAGTATAATTCAGTGGATCTCTATGAAACTATACCACAAGGTTCCATACCAAAAATAGAAGGTTTGGAATGATTTTGGGGGTTATATCCTAGAGAAAAAGATCAGTGGAATTGCACTGGAATACCACTGATATTCCATTGTAATTTCCACTGGAATTCCAGTGATTTTCAGTGGAATAATTTGGCTGGAATTCCACTGGAACTACATTGGCTTTCCACTGGAATTACAGTGGAAAATCCAGTGTTATTCCACTGGTATTCCAGTGGAATTCCAGCCA